AAAAAAAAAAAAAAAAATCATGATGCACTTAATCGTCATTTAGTGTTGTTTTGTCGGATCATTTTAAAATGAAAAAAAAAAAAATAATAAATAAAACCTCATTAGACAGTATTACTAATCGATAAAAAATACAAAGAAACGTAAAAAAAACTCTTTCCTCAGAGACCTTTTTTTTTATCGTTAAATATCTTTTGAGGACTTATAAATATTTTAATGCGTGGCCCGCAACCTGAAAAAGAAGAACATTCTATCCATTTCAGCATTTGCTTCCGCTGCTGCTTCCCCACTTACTTCTCTCTCGCCACGCATCGTGATCTATCTATGTATACAACTCGCGCATGTAGGTATATAGTGGAGCATGGAGGGAGTAATGGGATTCCAAAAGATCACGTGACTCTTGCGGTATATATAGTCACTTGAGGGAAAAATAACACAGGCCTTATGGGTGCAATTTTGTTTTTATTTTTTTTACATGTTCAACGATAGTATTAAGATAAAAGCCTTTCAATAACATATTTTCGAGGAGATGACATTACCTTAGCCATTTTTTCCCAACTCAATTAGTCTTAAAACTTTCCTTTGAAAGTGCGAAAACGCACATTTAACCTTACCAAAATCCCGCTTTATTTCCTATACACGGTCGGGAACGGCAGAAGTTTGTACAGGTTAAATGTTCGTTTTCGCACTTTCAAAGGAAAGTTTCAAGCTGCAAAAGACTATAATTGAGTTAGAAAAAGATAGTTAAGGTATTGTTACCTCCTTAAAAATACGAAAATAATGATAATAATAATAAGAAATAATATCGAATGATACTAGATGACTTTAATACATATTAATTAATAGAAAACGAGCTATACGAAAACACCCTTATCATTACAATTGTGTTGGATCTTTAGGAGACGATATTTTGATCTATTTGTTTCAGAAGGAACCATCAATGCAAATATAAAACTCTGACTTATTCACCTTTTTGCACACACTTTCCAGCAAAGCCATAAGCTCTCGTGTAAGCTCTAACTCATTCGCATTCTTGCACGAACCCATAAACTCTCACACAAGCTTTGTCTCATGCAAGTACAACCTTCCCAAAGTCATAAGCCCTCATGCGAGCTCTGACTCGCTCGCATTTCTGCACGTACTTTCCTAGAAGCGCTCATGCAAACTTTGACTCAGTCACATTCCTTCACGTTCCTTTCAAGAAGCCGCAAAAGCCTCGCACAAGCCCTGACGCATTCACATTCCCCTCGCTATACCCGCACCCTTAGAATTTTTATATAGGTTGACTCAGCATCGCACCCAGCCTATCTAAGTCAACAAGGTGCGGCCCGGAAAAGCAGCGACAGCGTAATTAAGTGTAACGGGGCATCTGTCCTTGTTGCCAAAGCCACGTTAGTGGCTACTTCTTCGTCCTAAATCCTACAGTTGATTCAATCTCATGTAGAACTCAACCAACAACATAACTGCCAAAGACAGATGCCCCGTTACGTAGCGAATTCTGCTGTCACATATCACGCCCCCTTTTCTCCTCTATTCTTATACCTCTATGGGATGGACACTAGGAGGCAGAGAGATAGTCGAACTTTAAGGCCAGACTGCTGTACAGCTTGCGACGCTCAGTTTGGCGCTCCCCTACAAACCAAAAGGCACGTACGCCTCTGTATACGTTCTACGCTTAGCCAGGGTAGTCTCAAAGTCAAAAACGATTTCCTAGGCCCAGGTTCATAACCTAGACATCGTCTCAACGAGATCTTGAAGAAGAGCTTCCCATCAAGGGACCCAAGAACAGCCGAATACCAGGAGCTCACAAGCACCCAGAGACCAACTTCGAGAACAGTAGAGACCTTCCTGACCGTGGCCTTCCTGAGCACTTTTGTGCCTCACAGGGTAACGAACCTGCCCGAACAACTCCATCCGTTGTACGAAGAACGCCACCAACAACTTCGTGCTCTACGCCCAAGGACCAGGTCATAACAACCTATCACCTATCACCAGCGTTGGGTTAGGCGGATTCAATATCGGAACTTTTTCCCTAGATCGTATATGTAGCTATACGATCCAGGGAGAATGTTCCGTCGAGCAGACAGCACAGCAGTGAAGGGGCATTGCCAAAGATACGCGGAAATTAAAAATTGTAATATTAATAACACAAGTGCCTATCACCCAATGACTCGGGGCGCTAACTGGCCTCTCTATTAAATAATAAAGTATTAATTATTAACACAAGCGCCTATCACCCGATGACCCGGGGTGCTTACTGGCCTCTCTATTAAATAATAAAGTATTAATTTGTTGGAATAAGAGTTTATACATAGCGCCATCTGTACACGAATATATGTACTATGCATACGCGAGCCCCGATGCTGCGATCAACGGGGTGTGACCAACATGCGGCATCAGGACAGTTCAGTTGATCGCTAGCCTCTAGCCAGTAAGACTTACTTGTAACAACAACAGCTTGTAAAGACGGTATAACGACAGTTTCATCGAAATAATATTAATTCTGATTTCTCTACGAAGTGTTTAGTGCTTTTCCCTTCTTGTTAAACATCCTGGCTTTTTCCCGAATCCTGAGAGCCTCGCGCAGTGGACTTAAACGTCAACAGGTTATGGGCCCAGGTACGCTTCCACTGCGCGGGGTTTTCTTCGTGATAAGGGACTTGCGCCGGAATTGACGCGTTTTTCTTTTCCATCTAGCAACTACTAAAATGAGTGAGAGTGAAGAAATCAGCGGGCCTCCCGAGATCGGGGTCGAGGTAGAGGTGCCAGCGAATGACGGCGAGACGTCGGCCAACGACAGCGAGGTGGCACCACCTGGGTTAGAAGGTGCGGCGGAAGGCGTAGAGGAGGCACGAGCTGTGTCACCGCTCGAAGAGGAGACGAGGATGCAAGGACAGGAGGAAAGAGGCAGGACTATGAAGGACGCAGCATGCCAAGGTAATAGTGAGTCCTGTGTTGTAATTGTGTTAAGGGGCAGTCATTTTTCGTGCTTAAAATTCGTTGCCTTTTGGCTGGGCCTAGCCCCGGAAGAGGAGGTGAGCGAGCGCACGGACGGATTGGCGGCGCTGTCCGTGGTTGCTGTCTCGGGCGGCCGAGGCGCCGGGTTGGGACCGGGGACGGACGCCTAGCCACACCTGTGTGCCAGAACGCCGTCACCGCAGCGCAATCATGGCGGTCGGCTCGTTTCTTTCGTCTTTGTAGTCCCGTAGTGCGCGCGCATGTGTTGTGTTCACATATGTGTGAGCATGTACGAGCAGCTCATGCGCTATCTTTTCCTCCTTTAATTATATCCCGACGTGCCGGACTGTATGTGTTCTACGGTTGCCGTGTGCGCGGGGAAGGGGCGGCCCAACCTGCCTGCTGTTCGCGCGCAAAGTGGTCACGTGTGCTGTGTGCGTGAACAACTGTGTCTCGTTGTTTACGCACGCTCGTACATTTCCATTTGTATCCCTTCTTGGAACTAAACAGGTAAACTTACGTAATGACGGCTTTATTTAAGATGAGGATGTGATCGACGCGTATATGCGACTTTTCCAACTTGGTGCGGATATTTGCGGAGAAGATCTCGTAAGAGATTTATCTGTGAGATTAGAAGACGGATTAATTATATTTGCGAATAAGAAAGAATCGATCGCAGCTATCTCAAAGGGTAACTTTAAGCCCTCAGAGTCTGAAAAAATATCACAAACAATTAGAAACTCTGGCGGCGTTATATCCCTGTCTGCAAAAAGGACTGAAAATTCGCAAGTCCCAAAATTTTTGGACGTGTTTGATTTCTCGCCCGGGTATTCAAAGAAAGCACTGTTTAAAACGACTGAACTGCAAAAGACTGAACTTCTGACTGATAAAAGGACGGACGATGAGAGTGTTGACGAAATGCATTTCGGTAATTATCGTGACAGAGTTCCAAAAGAGAAATCAGCGAGTTCAACTATCTCGGGAAAGCCGAAAATAATAGTTAGAAGGAGTGCGGCCACGGAAGAAAGGGAGAGCCTGAGACGTCGGATAGGCTGGCTTGAAGAACGGCAGAGGGCGGAGTACCAGAGTGCTGTACAGACCACGACCGAGGCCGCCGCCCGTATTCGCTCCGTGCATGACACGCAGCGCCGCCCTCGGTGTCAGAATCGCGCAATACCGTACCCCCGTATGATTAAATCGTAACACTGTCGCTTATAGGAGAAAGTATTATTTATTGAATATACTGCTATCGCGTAAACATCAGCACCCTAAAAAATGGATATGATTATCCAAACAGGCTTTAAAAGTATAAGTTGCAACATAGTTTTTAATAATGAAACGCTGAAAAAAGCTAAAAAGTTAGTAGAGAGTGGGCACGTTGCCTACGTACAGGAATATGTAAATAAAGGAGTCGGTCATTTGATCAATTGCTATGTTGTGAGACAAACATCTCTCAGCTTAAATCCATACAAAGTAGAATTATCTGTAAGTACATTATTGCCTATGCTTGACAAATGTAGGTTATGGTAACATATACATAAAAGTGTAATTTATTTATCAGATTAACGAAGACCGCTGTATCTCCGACGTATGGGGTCTACTTGGGAATTTATACAGCACCACCCCCTGCTTTTCTTTCTTGTTGCAATTAACAACGCAGCACTGTCTCGTTCGCATTTCGTTACTTTGTAAACGTAAACACTGATTCAGATTATACAGCTAGCTGCAGCCTATGTCGACTGCTTGGAGTTCTTGCTCTCACGTATACAACATTACAGATAAGTATGTGTGTTGTGTACTATATGACAGATGATATTTAATAACCCATTATTTAAAATTTCGGGCGATTTGAAGTGCCTAGCAAAATTATTTATCCGTATTATAGACCCGGTTTGGCTAAATAACATTTTTTTCCGCCTTCGATTTCTCAACTAATTACTTTAAATGAAATAATATCTTTTCTCATATAAAACAACGCTTACTGTAAGATTCATGGGGGTACGGGTTCGCCAACTTTGCTCACCTACAGCGCTGCAGTCGTTTTTTTTATCCCCTCCAACCTGATGCACGGAGCGAATAAGGGCCTTGGAAGAGGCAGTGGCGACAATGTCGAGGTTGTCCGAACGACTGGAAAACTTTATGACAGCTCAAGAGGTAGGTCAATCAAATTCTGGAGTAGACGCGTTAAACTCTACTGCAATACCTTCATCAAATCAAAATCGTAACACAAAATTGATCCATTCTCGGAAAGAACCCTAAATCGAACACTGCATGACAGAACGACTGATCTTGATGGGAGTGAAAGGTTTCAACTCGAACTGTTAAATAAGGACTCACCTTCCCGTTACGATTATAAATTAACTCCTAAAACAAAGATAGAATTGTTTCTCGATAAATTATTTTCAGAATTAAAGATTAAAAAACTATTGTACATCTTGGATGATACCGTTGAGTTTCCCGCATTTCTGTCTGCCAAAGAATTAGATGATCACAAAGAAAGGGTACGACATGTTATAATCAATCACATTGATGACTTTTACCATCTAAAGACTGCTCATTAATCCAATTCCAAAGAACTGCTAGATAAGTTGAAAAAAATCGAAAGAAACGAGTCAAACCTATCGTCAAATGAAATCAGACGAAAACTGTATACTTTTCGGCATTTCCCCAATAAAATGACAGGGTCCGATTTCGTTGATAAATTTGAAGAGCTCCTTAGAAGCTACGAAAATTTACAAGGAAAACAACCCTTGTCCAAAGAAGAAATACGTGACGCATCCTATAACGCCGTCGTTAATAACGTATCGCAGATTAAAACCCTCAACGCTATGATTGAAGATGCGCAAGGAAAAAGGATGACTTATGACCGGTTGAAATCTTTCTTTTTAAAGACAGAGTCGAGACGACAGAGGACCGGAGCTGCTGGGGGAACTGCTCCTGCAACAGCGCTACGGGTATACCAGCCCAACTCAACCCACGATAATGCCCGGTGTTATCGGTGCGATTATTACGGGCACCACTCCTATAACTGCCCGGTCGACGCAGGAATGAGAAAATGCTACTCCTGCGGAAGGCTTCAACGCAACCTCATGGAGCATAAGAAAAATTGCCGGGTTGCCAAATCAGGTGAGAAGAAAAATTTAAATTGGGATTTCAAAAGACGGGAAAACAAAGACGGACAAGGATCAAAAAACTCGACAAATAAAAGGGGAAAAAGGGAGCATGATAGTGAAAATAACAACCAAAATAAAAGACAGAAAAAGGACAGTGACAAAACTAGTAAAAATGAAAGTAAAACAAAAGGACAAGGTGGAAACACAAATGACAAGAAAGGTAAGACTGTTTTTAAGCAAAACGACATTACCTCTTCGCTGTCTTCAAGCTCTGCAAATAAGTTAAAGACCGACAACTACAATCTAGTTGAATTCATCGCCGACTCAGGAGCGACCGACCACTTGGTCAACTTTCAGCTAGTATTTAAGAGCTTAAATTATAATAAGACAGGCAAACATAGTGTGCGAATAGTAATCCTCTGGCAGACTTGAAAACGGAGGGAGAAGGCACCATCGTCGGTAAAAATAATAACCATGATCAGACACTAAATAATGTGATCTGCTCTGAATCCTTGTCGGAAAACTTACTTTCTTTGAGAAAATTTGTGGATTCAGGCCTGGCCATATACCTCGATAATAACAAAATTGATATATTTGACCCGAATTCGAACGAGTCATTTATCACAGGAGTCTATCGACAGCCATACTGGCTTGTTGAGTTAAATGTTCACAATAAAGATAAAAACAAATTTGACAGGAAATTTGCATATCTAGTGACGAATGGCTCGGGTGAACCTCGGTATAATACACGAAGCAAAGCTATAACAAAAGACAGTAAACAAGACAGAGACTTAAGTAAAAATGTCGAGCAAGAGGAAGCTATTGGAAATCCGTTGGCACTACATCCCATAGAATCTTGCCTTGATAACTCAGTCAATGACCGTAAGCTTCTGAATCCTAATAAAATAAGCGTGGACAATACACCCATTAATGACAGCTATAGAACTCTTGAAAAAACAAGCCTCATGGACGTGGCCATCCTATGGCACGTGAGATTGGGGCATGCTTCCCTCGCTTACCTAAAGGCATTTCAGAAGAAATTTCCGAATTGCAAAGATCTGAAAAAAGTCATATTTGATGACAGTATAGCTAATTGTGATGTATGCTCCAAGGCAAAATTCAACAAACTTCCGGCTAAGACAGTTAGAGTGAGATCCACCGCTCCCCTCCAAATTATTCATTCGGATACCATGGGTCCCATAAGTCCAACTTCATACCCTAAACGCTACAAGTTTGTGTCAGTGTTTGTGGATGATTATTCAAGAATGGCCATGGCATATCCAATGAAAGCTAAAAGTGATACAGGGATTTGCTTGGAAAATTTTGTCCGGAGCGCCAGAAACATCTTGGGGTATGACGCCAAGTTCTGCTATCTTAGGTCTGACCAAGGTACGGAATTCACTGGTGGCCATACCCGAGAGGTCTTAAAGGAACTGGGGGCCGAACTGCAGCTAGCCAGCCCGGATACACCGGAGCACAACGGGACGGCAGAACGATTCAACCAAACAATCGCAAAGAAGACAAGAGTCTACATGTTCGACTCCGGTCTCCCAGAGAACATGTGGGACTTGGCTCTGAGTGCAGCAGTTTATGCTTACAACCGAACACCTCACAGGTCGAATGGAATGGAAATTCCGTTGGTAAAATTTGCACCGCATAAGGATCTCAATATCGAACAACTGAAACGGTTTGGGTGCTTGGGATACATGAAGATTCAAAGAAATTCCGGCCCGAAGTTCAGTCCGTTAGCTCAACGAATTGTTCTAGTGGGATACACAGCCGCAGGGTTTATCCTGATGAAACCTGAAGACGGAAAATTTTATGAAAGCAAAGATGTGAGATTCAATGAACGACTGGTATACAAAGACAGATACCTGAAAAACGATATAGTGAATTGGGAATTAGTTACAAGGACAGTTGATAACGACAGCTGGCTCCTGAAGTTCGACGAAGAGACGGAAGAGAGCACAAAAACGAAGGGAGAAATCGTCAAACGAAAGAGAGGACGACCGCCGAAAACATCTGGTTCAGGAAATACGGAAGAGCTATTACCAGTGAAACGACAGAAGCTAATACATGACACTAGTTTCACAGGACTGCAGGTCCCCCATGATTCAAATAATCAAATCAGATTTGGACAGGAAAATTTTAACGAAGAAGACTGCTCTGTGGATCAAAATCAGGATGAAGTATATCATGCACTGTTAGCAGAAATTTACAAAGATCCAACCAACTACCAAGATGCTCTGAAGAGCAAAAACAACGCAGAATGGCGGAAAGCTATAGAAGAAGAACTGAAGTCGATGAACGACAACCTTGTTTGGAAAATTGTAAATAAACCAATGAGTGATAGCAAAGGCAGAAAACCAAATATAATTGACTCCCGGTGGGTTCTGAAAAGGAAAGAAGACAACTCTGGAAACATAAAATATACAGCCAGATTAGTGATCCGTGGATTTAAAGACAGAAACCAATATGATCTGTTGGAAACTTATGCTCCAGTCTCAAGACTAGCAGTAATTCGAGTCTTACTGGCTGTCATAAACAAATATAACTTGGAAACACGACAGCTTGATGTGAAGACTGCCTTCTTGAATGGTACACTGAATGACGATATATACATGGAAATACCAGATGGTGTTCCGTGTGCTCAAGAGTTAAGAAAAACCAAAGTTTGCAAGTTGGAAAGATCCCTGTACGGTCTTAAAATTAGTCCCAAACGCTGGTATGAGAGGTTTTCAGAGACTGCCACAAAAATAGGACTCCAGGAACACCCAAGTGAGCCCTGTCTTTTCATATGGAGATGTGAGGACAAATTTTTATTTTTGATTCTGTATGTGGATGACATGCTGATGGCAAGCAACGATGTCAATAAACTTACAGAAGTGAGTGATAAGCTTAAACTTTAATTAAAACCGAATTCAAAATGACAGATCTGGGGGAAGCAAATAATTTCCTGGGAATACAAATCAACAGAGACAGACGAAATCAAACCATTCGTTTAACCCAGGACAAATATACGAACAAAATACTGCAGAGGTTTGGTTTCGACAATGCACGACAGTGCAAAACACCTATGGTGACGAGACAAGTCATAAATCTGCAACGAAGAGACAGAGAAGAATCTGGAAACGAAGAAGAGCAAAGTGTGGATAAGCCAGAAGATTTCCCATATCGGGAAGCAGTCGGCAGTTTGCTGTACTTGGCAAACACTGTTCGACCTGATATATCTTACGCAGTGAACGTATTAAGTAGACATCAGATCAATCCCACAGAAGAAGACAGGCAAATGGTCAAGAGAGTTTTCCGTTACCTCAATGGTACTAGAAAGAAAAGACTGACTTTTAAAGGAAGCACAGAAATCATAACAGCTTACTCGGACGCAAGTTTCGCAGATTGCAAGGATTCGCATACGACGAGTGGATACGTCATAAAATTATTTGGCGACTCTGAATCTTGGAGAACGCATAAACAAACTTAGGTTTCGTTATCAACCTGCCAAGCTGAATATATAGCTATGAGTGAGGCATGTCAAGAACTCATGGCTCTAAGAAACACTTTCACAGCTGTGCTAAATATCACACTTTATCCTATGACTGTGTGGTGTGACAATAAAGCAGCCGAAGCCAGCGACAAGTCCTATGGAGGAACTAAACTTAGACACATGTCATCAGTGCGAGAACATTATGTGAAAGAATGTGCTAAATATGGGTTCGTAGAAATCAAGTGGATTGCCTCTAAAAAACAGATTGCCGACATTTTTACTGAAGCTTTACCAATTGAATTGCATGAGAGAATGACTGCAAAATTACTAAATAACTGTTAGAACTACACGACAGTGAATTTCGTTTAAGGTGGTTCAACGCCTAGTGCCGTATCAAAATGGGGAGACTAAAAATTAATCATTATTTTCTTTAAAATATGGTATAAAATTGTCGTAGAGACTGTTGTTAGCCATATTCTACATTTTATCTGTTACTTTAGTGAGTTAATATAAAAAAACAAAAAAGTTTTATGGTGCCCTAATTGATAAACTGTTACGGTACGCTCCTAAGTTCAAGAGTAGTTATACCTATATATATGTACTCCGCAGAATGCAGACAGCTGAGAGCTGACTTACACTCGCAACTGTATACTTAGTCTCCGATTATTTAAAGATTTTGTTCAATAACAAGACACTTTTCTCATGTTATCCAAAACTGCGTAATAATATATACAAGATAGTATAATTTTTACACCTTACGGGTTATTTATACAAGTGCAGCAGTAGGTTGTATATCGCGTAAGCTTGCATTTCCTATCTAACCCGTCTTAAAACTACGATTTTGTAAGCATGATTTCTTACAATTTTCATCGTCAACC